GATTAACCGACACGTTATAACGCCCCCACGGCTGAAAGGGCAAGCATGTGTGAGTTGAGCGCCTTATCCAACTGGCCATGCCGGGCCACTTATTATTGTCAGTATTTTAAATCATAAGCTGTCACACTGTCATGCCGACCTGTGCAGGTAAAATATCCTCCAAAAAAATTTCGCATATATATTTTGAAACTAGATATAAACTGAACATCCACGCCAGTTCGATGTCGCCCACTGTAACTTATTTAAATTATTATAGAATAGAAAAAAAAATGTTTTACTTAGTTGTGCAATTTTATTGTATACAACTGACAACTTTATTAATTTTTTTCTACTACAGCTTGCCAAAAAAATATCCTCAAATACGAATTGTAACGGTTAAATGATATGTATTGTTAAGTCTCCGTTTGTTAATTAACTCTCCGTAACTTCGTTCCAACGCAACTTTAACGACACAAGTCTTTACTTAATAAAACTGGTTTATTCTTTCCGAATATAACTCTGCGATACACTTAATCTCAATACTCGCGCTAAAACAACACTGTAACGAACGAACGTTAACTTCAACAATACCCTGTGACTGCAGTTCAATTACTCACTATCTACACACACATTACATTACCGCGTCACGTTGTACCCCTCTTATATATACCAGCCTACCCTATCTAGTAAATACTAGAGCATTCGCCAAAGTACAGGATAGTTCTAGAACGTGGCGTCACAGTAGTCATGTGACACGCTGACGCAACAGTATTTTTCATGAATGTCATCATTTTCTATCGCATGTTTCCAAAACGCACTCTTGATTTTTTAAACAAAATTTCTTATGAAAATTATAATAATAAGATGGCATGCGTTTTTATATGAAAAGAAGTTTGATTTGTTTTAATGAAACCATCAGTTAGGTGTCTTGATTTGAACTCCAGAAAATCTCGTCACTCTACAGTTATTATTCACGCAATTAATGTGTATTCCAACAGGCTTTATAGGCCACAGAACCAAATGAATAGCCTCGTCAGCAATGAATATGACGGATATATCTTGGTTGACACGTTCAAGAGTTCTCGTAATTAATTAGGCTCATTTTGCCTAACGCTGTTGTATATATGTCGTTAGCCCCCTATTTTGTTTTTAGGTCTCAAGTTGAACTTTCTTCTTACTTTAAAACTCCATAGAAAAATAAATTAGCCAGATTCTGAATATAATTTATAAAATAAACTGGCAATCGCCATATTTAGATAATTGTTAGGATAAGTTACTGGTACCAATTAAATTATTTGTATAAATACTAGCCTGTTAGTATTAACTTAGTATAAGCCTGCAGTTAAAAGTGATATTACTAATAATATTAGACTATGAGTTGGGCCTAAGTTAGTGTCTGTTATCAACTGAATCTAAAAGTTTAGCTTTTACATTTTAATATGCAAAGGTAAACATAAAATATACAATCTAAAGCAAATTTAATATTATAATTCAAGCAGATAAACTACCTTTAAGTTTAACAAGAGAAACGCCTTTATCTTCGTGTTACTCTTGGGCCCATCAACGAATTAGGAGTCGAACTCAAATGAAATTAAATTACACAATAATTTTTATCACGTGGAAACTATGATCTCGAGACATTCTTTTTATTTATTTATGAGTAAACAAGTAAACATATTGAGAAAAATTCAGGCAGTGTCGTGCACACCAAAGCGTAAATATGATTAATGAAGAGGAACAGCTAGTACTTAGTAAAGTTCTTTAATTCCTCAACGCAGGCCCGCCGACAGGGGAGGGTGTGGCAACTGACAAGGGGCGAATCAAACTTGGTTATGCCGTAAAGTCCGCAAAGCATATTTAGGCTATATCTTCATTTAATGATAAAAACCATAGTTTTTTGCTTTTCTTTGCATATAGACACTTGATACATTAAGAACGACTGAAATAACAATTTGAGTAATAATTAATATGTATTTGTTACTTTAAAGATTTAATAGATATCTGTTGTTACTTTATAGATTTAATAGATATTTGTTGATACCTTATAGATTTGATAGATATTTGTAGTTACTTTATAGATTTAATAATATTTGTTGTTACATTATAGTGTTATGTATTTGCTTGTTTGTTAATTCCCGGTAGAAATTCTTTCCGAAGAACTTCAGCGATACAAGTCCTTTCTTTTATGCTTTATGCTTTCTCGATACAAACTTTTGGTACACGGTAGTTCCACAATCAGTACGTTTCTCAT